GGTTTGGTCTTGTTTGAGGAAGGGTGTCACCATGGAGATAGGCTTGAGGTTTTATATATTTTCAAGTCATACCAGGTGTTCCAATTTACTTCCCATTGCTGGCAGATTATGATGTATCAAGTCTCAGATTCTTCTGCAGCTCAATGTCTGCCTGTATACCACAAAGTTCCACCATGAAGGTAATGGACAGAACCTTTGTGCAATAAGCCACCTCATTAAGTGTTTTCTTTTATAGGAGTTGCCATGGTTATGGTGTCTCTTCATATCGAGAGAAACCCAAACTAAGACAGAAATTGATACCAGGTATTGGGGTATTGCTGTGATAGGCCTGACCAAGCTTTAGTTTTAAGGACTTTGGACCTTAAACTGTGAACTATAAAAGCTGTTAAATGCTTTAAGTGCTGCCATACTAGAAGCATGGAAGAAAGTGATGCTGAGTGTGATTTGATAATCAAAAATTTTCAAAGGGGAAGAATGTTTTTATGTTTCCAAGAAACCAGTCTTGTGGTATTTTGGTGAAGAATGTGGTTACCTTTTGCCCTTGTCTAAAAAGTTAACTTGAGCTAACATCAAGAGTTTTCTATTAAAGCTGTAGGCAGAGGAAATCTCAAAACAGCCTAGTATAGCCTCTTTCTGGTAGTTATTAGTGGTGACTCTAATGGAGATTTAAAAGAAAAGCTGAGCAAGGAAAAATAGAAAATGTAGGACAATTTGAGGAGAATAAGAATACCAGGAAGTAGAATGGTGCTAAGGCCTGTGTTTTAGGAGATAAAGAGATTCAGGAATTAAATAAAGTGAGTGGTTTGTTAAGGGTTGATCACACACGGCTAAGTTCTCAACTTGTGAATGGGAATTAAAGAAAAATTTAGAGCCAGGTATGGTGTTGCACATCATTAATTTCTACACTGGGAAGACAGGAGAATGTGTTCTGAGTTTGAGGCCAGTCTGGTCTGCAAGAGCAAATTCTGGAACATCCAACTTTAGGACGGTAAAGGAGACCATAGGCAACAGAAAGATGATGAAGATGTGATTGAAAGAGTGAACCCTGTTGGAAATCCAGTAAGCAGCAGGATTTAGTGGCTCTGGTCATGTGATTGTTGAGTTAAGGATAGATGAAAGGGTTTAAGGAATTTCCTTGCATAACTAAGGAAAGCCATTGGAGATGGACTTATGTAATGGGTGGTACTGAATGTTGGCCTAGAGAGGACATGCTTTGAAATTGTAAATGTAAAGCCTGGATTCCATTGAAGACTCCAAGATGTTAGAGTCTCCAGAGCAGTGGGGTACCAGACAAGAAAAGCTGTCAATAGGGAGAGGAAACATCCCAAAAGAAGGATTTGTGTGGATTTCAACACAAGCAAATGGAGTTGGAGACCTGAAGCATTTTGTAATATAACATAGAGCAGAAGAGGTTCGAGTTTGTTTAGCTGGTTTCCAACCTTGCTTTGGTCCCATATTTCCTTCCTATGTTTCCGTCCTTATGTTCTGAAACCTTAATGTATATTCTGTGTCATTATATGTTGTAGTTATGTGATATGTTCTTTGGATTTATATATTCTTGGGGACTTCCATTAAGAGATTGGAGGAAACTTCGTAGAGACTTTGAACTTTGGACTTTAAAACATTGTTGAGACTGTAACAAACAATGGGATTTTAAAAAATGCATTTTGCACAACAATATTGTTGGAACCTTTGAAGACCAGTGGGTGGAATGTGGTAGTTTGAATATAATTGTTCTTCATAAGCTCATAGGGAGTGGTACTTTCAGGAAGTGTGGCTTTATTATACAAGGTATGGTCTTGTTAGAGGAAGTGTATCACTGTTGGGGTGGGCTTTGAGGCTTTGTATTTGCTCATGCCATACCCAGTGTCTCAATGCTCTTTCTGTTGCTTTCAGACCAAGATGTATCCACTCTCAACTCCTACTCCTTCACCATATCTCCCTGTATGCCACCATGTCCAAGGATGGACAGAGCATCTGAATGTAAGCCCCCAACTAAATATTTTCCCTTAGAAGAGTTTCCATAGTCATGGTGGTTCTTCACAGCAATAGATAACCTACTATAATATAGAAATATGTTTTCTATATACAAACAGAAAATATGCCTAAAACATAATAAAAATTATTCTATAGTGTTAATTGTAGAGTTCTATAAAGGTATAATATTTTGGGGGAAAGAAACTGCATCTTATAAATCCTACCTACAATGAGTGAATTCTTCCAAGTATTTTGTATCAAGTTTCAAAAGTGCCATCAAAATATTAGCCTATTCATTGCTTAATTTAGCAAGGGAGACATTTTTTATCAAAATACAACAATTTCAAAGTTCCCATGAAAAGATGATTATGTCTTATTTCGAGCATTTTAGGAGAAAATAGATGTAACACACATAACTAAATATTTCCTTACATTGGAGTATACATCTTTTCTTTTTAAAATTATAATATAATCATATTTCTCCCTTCCTTTTCCTCCATCCAAACTCTCCCATTTATGCCTCCTTGCTCTTTATCAATTATTTAATTGTCTCTTTGTTCATTAATTTTTGTATGTATCTACAACTTAGTCAATAATAAAGTCATAAACATTTATATATGTTAAATATGTCCCATATTTACAGTGAAGCATCTAGGAATTGCCTAGAGTAGATTGATAACATTTTTATGTATTGAAAAGCAATAATGAATACCAGAAGTTTGCATAACATTTATGTTTATATTTTATGAGATGCCAATAGCAGACACACAAGATCTTTTTATAAGTAACCAAATTATATCAACTGAGAGGTATATTATAAAACAAAATTGCCCATTCGCAAAGTAAGACAGAGAATGTTAATGGAGCAAGAGATATACAAAAGAATAAAGAGTAAAAAAAAATGAAACTCACTTGTCTTAGTCAAAGTTCTATTGCTACAAAGATACATGATGACAATAGCAACTCTTATAAAGTGAAATATTTAATTGTGGCTGCCTTACAATTCAGAGGATTATTCCATTATCAACATAGCAAAAGAAATGACAGTATGCAAGCAGACAAAATGCTAGAATGGTACCTGAGGATTCTACACCTGGATCCACAGGCAGCAGGAAAACAGAATGAGCCACTGTGTCTGTCTTGAGCTTCTGAAACCTGAAATTCTACCACTTATGATACTCTTACTCAAGCAACCTATTTCAATAAGCAAACACCATGAATGTAGTTTCATCTGTAGTAAGAAAAAAACCATGACATTTTCAAATGCCAGCTTTCTGGGCTGTCCTGACAGCATAAACTCTTACTCTTTCAGGCAAGCGGTCCAGCTACAGAGCATTTGGATGGGGTTTTTGAGCAGCGTCTTGTGGCTTGCTTGATGACAATGTGGACCAGCTGTGTTCCTGAAATTGGTACGGTGCGCATGGTTCTCAGAGGCGCGAGCAGCTCTGATATGGTGGACTAGATGGGGCAAGTAGAAAGTACTGTATTCGACCTAGTAATGCCACAGCTTAAGTTTTAAGAAGCCCTTAGCATTTTAAAATGTGCTCCTGAACAGCACATTTTAAAGTCTTACAGATATGTGATAAAGACAAATGCAGATGGAAAAGACACAGGGGAATAAGACACAGTGTGTCTAAAAATGTACATAGGCTTGGAAGAGAGAAGAGAGTATAGAGAATCATAAAATAAAGTTAATGCTTTAAATAAAAGGGTAAAGTCTTTAAAGAGACAGAGTATAGTCATAGGTTAAAAGGAATAAAGAAAAATAAGCCATGTAACAAAGAAAATTCACAGAGAGTCTGGATTATGTATATAATTATATTATCTTTGAATTTTTTGATGGTGAGTGAGCTAAGTAGAGTATCATATGGGCATATAAGCGAAACAAGTATGTATATTATAATGGTATCTTGATTTAAGAATTTGGGTCTAAGGATATGTTGCTTTGGGAAAGAGGTTCTTTTTTGGAAAAGAGTATGGATTGTTTCCAGACTAATATGTGTTGATGGAACAAGACCTCCTGAAATGTTGCTGTGAACATCCCAACAAAAAAAATACTTCACCCAATAAACAGCAGAAAGGAGTTTGGAGAGACTATGCCCATATTCCCAAATACTGTTTATACATGTTTATTTACATTTAAAGGGGGATATGCTATAGAGATTTTCTTTTTTTTTCATTTAAAACGTAATATGAACATATTTATTAGGATGCTCAAGAATGAACAACATTATTTTCACTCTCTTCATGTGATAAAAAATACATTTGACCCATGTTGAGGGAGGAAAGGGATAGGACTCCCAAAGTGGGTATCAAACAGCCCCACAAGAAATCCCCATTCAGCGAAGGGCAGGATGTCCCTGATAGCATTCTCTGCTCTAAGTTCCAGCCCCGGTACTCTTTATTCCAACTATTCTGTCCTTGTCACTCTTCAAGATCCACGCAGTCAAACTCAGGCCACCTCTGAGTCTGCAGATCACAGCTTTGAATTGTTACTGCCTTGATACCCTCAGTAGGGAATGGGGTAAGAATAGAAGATTACACATATCAAAAACACAACATTAATAAATGGCACTTGGATGTAGGTTTAACATTATCAGACTTTCTCTTCAAATGACAATGGGTGGGAGGGGCTGCTTCCCAAAGAAAGATTTTCAGTCATGGTAGCATTTATGGAGATCCCATATACAAAGGCATGAGAGACCAGTGTTACTGTCATCTTGTCCTGCACAGAGGAATGAATTTGCAGATGAAAGTAGACAACTACCCTTGGCTTAGGTTTTTCCTGGTTCTTCTCACTGTTAAACTGTGACGTTCTGCCTCTCACTTAACTTAGATATCATCTCACTTAGATTAAGTGAAACAGATTAAAAAATGGTAGTAGAGGATGGAGAGATGGGACAGAACAACCCTGTAAGACTATAAAAAAAATACAAAAACCAGATGTAGTACAATATTTATAATAGAAACTGGCCAAAAACATTACATGCTAACAGATGGTATGATACAGAGTAGGGTGGGAGCAGACAGGAAGGGTAAAGCCACAGGCTACACCAGGAGCCTTTCAATAGACTGCTGGATGGATTGGATCTGCTGCTTTAGCTGGGAGCCTTCTTTGATGGTAACAGAACAGGCGATGACGGGTCTGGAGACCCCACAGGCCCGTCCTAGGGCCTGCTTGGAGCGCACAAATACATAGGGGACATTCTTGTCTTCACACAGCAGTGGGAGGTGCAGGATGATCTCCAAGGGCTCAGCGTCTGCTGCCATCACGATGAACTCAGAGATGCCTCTGTTGAGGGTTTTGGTGGCTTCATTGGCTCCTTTCCGAAGCTGCTTGTAGTTGCACGACTGCTGAACAAGGTCCAGCAGCTTCTTGGTGAGATGGGCATCTGCGAGGGGATAGGCCTTCGGGTTCACATCAGCCTCTGTCATGGCTGCGGTGCGCCGGCCCCGCCGCAGGTCGAAAACAGCCAAGCTCCGACAGACTGAAAGCGCCGCACGGAAAGACTCTGCTATAGAGATTTTCATTGGTATGGCTCTTGGTTTATTGATAAAAGTTCAAGATCAATTTTGTTATATGTATATTTCTGCTCTTGATTAAGGTATTGTGTTTGTGTAGCTCGATTAAAACTGTAACATATAATTAAAATATAGCTTAATAGATAATCATCTATAATAGTCAAGCTTGTAGTCAAGTTAGATTTTCTAGATGTATAGAGATATATTTCAGTTAAATAGGTATTTTTCAAATCTTTCAGAGACCTTCAGAATATGGCATTTAAAATGTTTAAGAACTTAAAACTTTTCATGACAGTGAGGCACTTCTATTCCTGGAAGCACCAATTATTTCAAGATGAAGATGGGTATCAAAGAGACTCCTTATGGCTTTTGTTAGACGAACTGGACATGCAGGATTCACAGTGAACTCCTTCATGGTTCCTGCTTCATGAAAGAGAATGCAAGACATTCTGCAGGACACAGAAGTAAGTGACTAAAATTTCCAATATAGGCAGAACTGTCTTTGAAATTTCCTGCTTCATGGAAAAGTCTGATGGATACTATGGGCCTGTAGGCTAAAGGTGGATCCTCAATGGCACAGAAGAACTTTGCATGACTGTGCAGGTAGTGAGATGTCTCTATCAATTCTAGAGTTTTAGAAGTTGTTTACAATGTACATGGTGTTTATTTAGGTAAAACTATATCCTTCTTGAGTCTTTGATGGAGTTGAAGAATTTGTAGTTATACTTATAGTTTCCCTTAGTTATGATAAAAGATAAAGTGGATATAAATATTCTAACTGTAATTCTTATTTGATATCTATTTTGTTATATGTGATTTTACTACGTTAAATTTAAAGCCTTCATTTTTATTTAAACAGAAAAGGGGAAATAGTGTGGGAGGTTCTTCTGTCTGTGTGTTTTTTTAATGGTTAATGAATGAAGAAGTGCTTTGAGCCTATGACAGGGAAGAACAGAAGTAGGTGGGGAAAGCTAGACTGTATGCTGGGAGGAAGAAGAGTAAAGTCAAAGAGACACCATGGAGCCACTACCAGAGTCAGACATGCAGAAACTTTTCTGGTAAGCCGCTGACATGTGGCAATACAGAGATTAAAGAAATGAGTTAAATTAAGATGTCCGAGTTAGCCAAAAAGAAGTTAGAGCTATTGGGCCAAGCAATAATTTAATTAATACAGTTTCTATGTGATTATTTCAGGTGTAAGCTAGCTGGGTGACCAGGAACAAACAAGCAGACCCTCCACACAACAGTATGATTTATATAAAGGTGACTTCGACTTCACTCATAACGACACATGAAAGAATAACCAAAAACAAGGCCTTAACTATAGGTTAGGTCAGAGCTCCAGCTTCAAAATTGAGCAAAATATAATGGCAAAATATCAATAAAGAGAACAATGAATAAATTATACATTATTGTAATGGAGCTAACACACATGAGGAAATATTATATCAACAAAATAAATATCCTCCTAAACACATGGGACATATTCTCAAGTGTTGGTAGGGAAAAATATCAACTATGGGAAAAGATTCAAGTTTATCAGGTTTTCTTTCTGTCAATAATGAAAAGAACTTAGGAAACACAAGACAACATGATATAGACAGACAGGCAGCAGATAGATAGATAGATAGATAGATAGATAGATAGATAGATAGAAAGATACACACACACACACATATATATACACACATATATATATAGATATTCATAGATTCATTTCATACATTGTATAACTCAAGAGAACACTGACTAATACACTTTATACACAAATTGCTGTTAGTGAATATTAGCCTTTTAAGAAGCAGTTATAAGAGATCCATTAGCATAAACTATTTGAGTAAGATAAGTAGAAAAATTAATTTTCTACCCCACTGAAAGAGGATTCATGAAGGCATGATAAACATCAGCCTAAATTTTTATTATTCAGAGGTGAATGGATAAAGAAAATGTGCAGACTCACCAAGGTATATTATTATTATTAGATAAAGAGAAATGAGATCAAATATTTTGAAGGAGAATAAATAAGAAAATTGAGAAAAAAATCTAAAAGTAGGAAAATAAATTTTATGTTTTTTGTATTCATAAATGAAGTAAGGAGCCAGATGGTGGTGGTACATGCTTTTAATAGCATTGAGGATTAAAGATGGAGGTGTTTCTCCCTGAGTGTGATGCCAGCCTGTTCAGAGTGAGTCCAAGACAACCAGAGCTAGGACTAGCCCCCCAAAAAAACAAAAACAAAAAAACAAAAAAAAACAAGTTAAATGAAGTTAGAATGACATAAAAATAATATAGGAAGTATTAGATACAGAAATATCATACAAAAGGAAGGGAAGTATATGAAAAGGAGAGTAAGCTTGTTTAAAAAATACCCTGACAAATGAAAATAACACAATGAATTCCTAATTATTTTCAGTGTTGATTAATTAGAATGAGGCATACAAATGTAGTCAGTAATAGCTAGCAAAAATAATAGGACTGACATTGTGACTTAGTGAGAAAAAGTGTCTGGGAGAAAGTCTTACAATTTGAAGTTCATTCCTGGATCCACATAGTGGAAGGAAAGAAATAAATTCTACAACTCTCCTCTTATTTGCATAGGAACACATTGCCACACATTTAAATGTCTGCAAATGCAGAGGAAAGTGAACAACATAAATAAATAAAGTCATAACTAAACTATAATGATGGCTATATTTTAAAGAATGTCAAAATAATTAATACTTAATAATCAAGTAATATCTATAACTTTGTAGGAATATTTATGATTATATTATGAATTTATAATAAAATATGAGTTATGTACTCTAACTTCACACTCAAATATGCTTCCTGATAACAAGAAATAAAGAACACAAATAGAATTCACAAATTGCTTACAGAATTTAAATGATCAATGGTTACAAAGTATTAAATGGAAGGAATGGAAAAAAAAACAGAGGACACTGAATAACAGAAGTATAAACATAAGGTCAACTTACCAACTATACTGAGTGCTTGTCTTATTGACTCTTGCTTGCACCCCTGGGATAAGACTTATGATACTATTTCTGGTGTGTAATGAGGAAATTTCACTATCAAGCCATGGGGACTTTGAGACTCTATAGTTGTCAGACCTATAAACACTGAATCAAAATGCCTGAGCTGCAAGTCAGCAGCAGCCTCACTCTCTTCTTTCTACCTGTTATCTTCTTTCTTCCTCTTACCAGGAAGTCATTTTTGCACCTCTTTTACCTGGGAAAAAGACATTTGATTTCTCTCACTTAGGTGAGCTGTTGAACACAATTCTTCTCAACCACAGAAAATTTGTAAGTACTTCATTAGTGAATGGGTATAAATAGGGATATTTTGATAATTTCATGCAAAAGAAGCAACGAGAAAACTGAACATACTTGCAAAACAGGTGTCCATGAACTTCTTGCAAAACAAAAAGGGTAACCTAAATTTTCTTAGCACACTCTTACCTATATGGCCATCCGTATCAGACATGGCATTCTGATAGACATCTGGTCTCTATAACATTTTCTCTCAAATATAAAGCTACCTCTCTCAAACTTAATAATTCTATGAACACCTTGGATATTTGCTTTCCTCATCTGCACTATTCAGCTATACGTAAAAACAGAATATCTTAGAGGAAAGGGAGGAGACAGTCCATGGGAAAAAAAGGATCACTTCAGAAAAATAAAAAACAGAATGGTAAATTGTGAAACCTGAGAGAGCATTGAAGATTTTAGAAATTTTTCATGTATTAGTCGGGGTTAGCCTAAAAATCATTCTAGATTTCAGGACTCTCATCTCTCACCCATGAATCTTAAAACCCACGAGGTGTTCTGTGTGCTTCTATAACTGTCTCAGGGGTCCTTCACTTTATTCTCCAGCATGGCCTTATTCATATGTTTTATCTAGAATGTAAGTGTAATATTCCAGGGTCAATTTTGATGTTTTAAAAACACGTATTAATTGTGAAAGTGTATGATGTATCTCATAGAGTTTAGTGATTGTAGCATTTTGTAATACTTTGTAGTCTGATAACATAAATGTGATTGGAGAGGTACGAGATGAAAGTGAGCATAGATCATTAGACTGTAAATTTAAATTTTATACAATGTATGAAGAGTCGATTTATCTTTTATTTTTTTCTCCTAGGTCTTCAATTTCATACTTTACAAATACATTCTGAGTGTTGAATGAATGTCGCAGAGCCACAAACCTAGAAGTGATCAGGAAGTATAAAACGTTTCTAGAATTATCATTTCCATGAAATTAGAAGGTGATACAAGTATTGTAAATCTAGCAAAGTTTTTGTTTTTTACTTTCAGTCCTCATTTCCATAAGAATTATCAGAAAAATGAAATCTAAAAACCATTCAATTTCAGCAGTTTCAGAATTTCTTCTCCTTGGGCTGACTGATGATCCCCAGCTCCAGCTGCTTGTCTTCAGTCTGTTCCTCTGCATATATCTGGTCACTGTGCTAGGAAACTTGATCATCATCTTGGCTGTCATCTCTGACACACACCTACACACACCTATGTACTTTTTTCTCTGTAGTCTTTCCATTAACGACATTTGTTTAAGCACAAACACAATACCAAAGATGCTCATTAACCTCATAACTCAGAATCAAAGCATAACTTACTCGTCTTGTCTTATACAAGTTTGGTTTGTGTTGGTTTTCACTGGACTGGAAAACTGTCTCCTTGCTGTGATGGCCTATGACCGCTATGTGGCCATTTGTCACCCTCTGAGGTACTCCGCAATCATGAGCCCTTTTTGGTGTCTCCTGATGGTTTTATTCTCTCTGATCCTTAGCTTTATGTTTGGTCTCTTGCACACTCTGATGGTTTTACACTTGTCTTTCTGTACTAACATTGAAATACCTCATTTTTTCTGTGAACTTGCTCAACTACTTAAACTTGCATGCTCTGATACACTCATTAATAACATCTTGGTATATTTTGC